ATGCAAATAGTAAACTGTGCAAGCAGGACAATCTATTAAGCATTACTGGACTATAAACTACAACTACTCTTGGATACTAAGAAATATTCAATCTAAACAAATTCACACAGGTATTCTATTAAGTTAGAAGGCTACATCATACATCAGAAGACAGACATCAGTACATTGAGTAAGGAAAAGTACATATACATCAGGAATAAGATGATACTGCTCCAGAATAAGCATCAGGCATGGAGATACATTGACAGTAATAGAAAGACACAGACATATGCATACACAGTCAATTCTATTCAGTACAGGAAGAGATACAGGATTAGTATCAAGTACTACAAAGGAACTACATCAGTTGACATTGGAACAGACATTTCCAGCTTCAGAATTGAAGAAACAATCAGTACAGAGCATGATCAAAGGAATTTGTATAGAACAATGTTTGTAACGATTGCACTACCTGTGCATTTGCGCAACATGTGTTGTAGGTGCTTGTGGGTGTTTTCCTTTTTGTTCACTAGACTACCCTGTATCCTACTACACGTGTATACACATATATAAAGGGTTTTCGAGCTAAGGGTTAGGGGATTCTTTCTCCTTCTCAGCACTCGATTACTAGGTTATCCCAGTCAGTAGTTGAGTGTGCTGGTAAAGAGAGAATCTTTGCATAAGGCTAGTATACCTATCCTTACACATTTTTGACTGAACCCACCTTTCCATAAACCCGCTGGGCTTTGACGACCGGAACTGAGGGCTTGATCACCCCAATACGTTCCTCACATCACCCAGTACTCCTTCGAATTCAAAGAAATCAGTGAGTAGTTTGCAAATCTAAATTAGAGACACATATACTCTCACTATGGCTACTAAGATACTCAGAACGCTTGAGGGACACGAACAGATTGTTCCCCTTGATGCAGAGAGACCTCCTCGTCGATATTGCAAGAGGCAAGCATCATTCGGAAGTGCTAAAGAGCAGCTTTCCCTGAATGCAGAGAGATTCGAAATGGTGCACACTACAGATTTTGAATTAACAGAGCATGCAGACAATGGACAACAAGATTATCCATTGAGTACTGAACACAATGTGGCCACCAAGCCTCAGCAGACAATCCTGGAAGGGCCCCCAAGTCCAGAAGTCGCTATTAACATGCCAGAGAATAAGTCCTTGTCTGTTGCAGGCTGGAGGCAATCTGATGACCCTTTGCCAGGTGATAAGTCCTCATCTACACTAGGCTGGAGGCACCCTGATGAACTATTACATACAAGTAATGTAGAACAAAGGCATGTACCTGTACCAGCACATATTGTTAGACTGATGCACACTGTAGAGCAGACACCAGCAAGTGCTTACCTTACTGGGCTCACAGAAGTAGATAATAGTGGTACAGAGAGCATAAACACTCAGGAAACTGGCATTGAGGATTCTGTCAGTAAGAACAAGGGTATCAGTAAAGGAACAACACTTTCCTTACAGCAGGAAACGTTCCAGAAGGCCAGAAAGACATTCAGAAACGTCCCTAGGCCAGAGACACTGAAAGCCATGAGTAGGCTAGCCAGTCCATTCAATCAAGGAATTGATATCGAGGAATTGAACAAGAGAACTCATAAGTACGATGGTATGCATCAGGAACATGAAGGAAACATCGATTTGGACACAATCAATCCATCCAAACTAACTGGAGACGAGTTAGCTAAATGGATGTATCAGAAAGTATGTCGTCAACACCCAGAAGCTACTAAAGGAATGTCCAAACGATTGGAAGATGCTCCACCGTTTGAAAGCACACGTCCTTGGAAGAAAGATCCAGGTAAACCTGTACCTAGTAATAAGAAAAGTGCAAGAGCAAATAAAGGAAAAGCTCCAGACATTTGTAATTACAGTCAGGTAGAACTAGACAGTTCCAGCAAAGCAGATTCTGATGTACAAAGAATGTATTTTCAGGAGATAGAGCACAGACGAAATGCAGAATCAGGACAATGGAATTTCAGAAATGAAGGCTACAGCAAGGCTCCCAGAACTCCTCAGGAATTACTGGTTCGTTTCAAGCAAGAAACATATTGCCCCAAGATAGAAAATCAAGGCAAGGACACATACTACAGATACGACACCCTAGCAGGGCAAGGAGACGCATTGCAGAATAAAATACCTGCATATATGCACCATCATACTAATGTTCAAGGATCGACACATACACCCAGTGCAAAACACAATATTAAAATGAACAGACTGAACCCAGACGTGAAACTTACAGTTCTGGATGCCTCTGATGACAGCGAAGACGAATCAGAAACTGCAAAAGGCAAAGAGAGCAAGGAAAAGAATTTCCACTGCAGTTCTGTACCCCCTATCAAGCACAGCACAGATAGGAATAGTAAAGGCCACAGAAAAAGAACCACACAAGATACTGCTGAGCCACAAAGCTCGAATACACTGCAGACAAATAGATTCGCATCAGTGAGACCCTCAGACAACCTTGCAAGAAAGAGTTATGTGAATCGTGCGATACAGAGAGCAGAAATTGTAAAAAGGCAGGATCCTGACCTGGATCCAGGCAATAGCTCTTCAGATTCTTTGGATTCGAGCAGATACTCAAGTTCTGACGATGGCAATGATAGCAATGCATTATTCGAACCTACAGACATTGATTCAAGTGACTCTGAAGGTACTAAGAAGTGTAAAAAGCTTGCCAAGAGGAAATGGAACAAGGAACTTCTGAAATTGAAGATACAGATGTAGAGTGCAAAACCTATTGTTCCTACAGTTTATTCAGGTGAACCTAACCTTCAAAGATACACCAAGTTCGTTATGGAAGTCAATCAGTACATGAAACAATCAGGATTACATTATTTCCCTAAAGAACAAGTGAGAGTACTACCTAATTTCATTAAAGGACAAGCTATGGACTTTTATCTACAGAAAATAGGCATGAACGAATCTTGATGGACCTTATCACAATTCTTTAAAGGTCTAATGGACTTTTGTTTCCCATCTAACTTTGCAGAAATGCTTAGGAAAGAGTTTAATATGATGAAACAAGGACACAGAGTCATACAGGAATATTTGTACAATCTAGAAATGAAAGCAATCAATCTAGGCAATATTTCTGATAGAGATTTAACTAGGAGAGCATGGGATGGACTTCATCCTAAGTATCAAAGGCAATTATGGTTGGATTGTTTGAATCCAGACACAGTTTCGTATGAAGAATTCAAAGACAGGCTTGAGAACATTGAAAAAGCAAATGAAGCTGTTGGAATTAAATGGCATACAGATACTAGAGATCGATTCTATCCTCAGACTAACAAAGAAGACCATTGAAAAGATAGATGGAAGAAGAACAACTAGAGGAACTACAGGAATGACAATAAGAATTGACCAAAGGACAGGAATTATGATTATAATTGTAATAATTGTAACAGGCAGCACATACAGTCTAACAGTGTAAGTCCTAAAGAGAAAGACCGATCTAAGGACTACAAACCGAAGTACAAGGATACCAGGCAGAATAAGCAAGAGAACAGTAAGAAGACTTATTCTACCAGTGTGAAAAGGCATTCACAAGCTGAACTAGACAATATGAGAGCTAAAGGGCAATGTTTTATCTGTAAACAGACTATGTATTTAGCTAAAGATTGTCCTACACACAGTACAGTAAAGCTGAACAGTGTTTCTAATACAAATACATTGTCTAAGAGTGTTAATATCAATTATTCTGCTCTAGATAAGTTAACCAATACTTTGGAAGACAATAATTACTTGGATTTGGATCTTATAGCAGACAATACAATGGATCCATCATCTTCTACATTGCGAATACAATCTATAGCTATTCAGATACATTATCCAGACAATAGTTATGAGTCTACAACTCAGAGGAATGAGAATTACAATTCATTAGCTGGTTACAATACTATTTTGCGAGTATTTGGTCTAGAACAATTGGATTTGAAGCCACAAACCTCTTCTGACACTTCAGAATTGAAGATTCCCCTTGTAAATGCTGAACTTAGAAAGAGAATCAGAGGAGAATGAGATCAATCTACAGAAATGGCTATCTCTACAGTGAATACATGATACAGTATGTTTTGGAATTACTAGATGTCTTATGGAAGGAATTCTGTACTGTTTT